AGTCAACAGTGAGTGCCACCAGTGTGGGGAACATGGAATAATGGAACATTGACAGAAAAGCATCTCACTCTTTAAAATTTCTCTCACAATACTCTAATTAACAATTTCTATGGTAGCCCTTGGCCTTTCAGAATTGCTTCAGACAATTTTTGGAAGGATAAGAATAAATGCAAGAGCTTAATTTCTGTTTGAAGCATCATCACCCTTATGAACACTAAACCTATTGAAGTTACTTCAGATTCAGTATTGAAGCCTGCCCTTAAATATCTGCCACAGAACATCAAAATAGCATTATATACAACATTGTGCTATGCATTTTGCTTAGAACACAGAGCCTCTATCCCATACGCTGTATTTGTGCCAACCATTCATTTGTTTGGCTGTGTTACCTCCCAAGCCGGCCTGCACTGGTTTTGTTAGAGTTATTAGAAGATATGCCTGTTCTTATTTCACAATGAATTTAAAATATATAGGAAGCCTTTCTTTATTTCTACATATTTAAATTGTTTTCAGAGCAACAGACTATTATTGTAGTGTTCATTTGTGTGAATATGGTTCCCCAATGTATTGTCTGCTTAGTCATTCCCACATGGCATGTTCAAACAATGTACACTAACTGGGCAAAAAGATTGTCTGATCATTTTTTGGACAAAGTTGGTGCTATAACACAAGAATCAAACATTTTGAGAACTAAGCTCTAGTGTATCAAATATAGCTAAGGAGGTGTAGATTGTATATACCAAGTCTGGGGATGAACAATTGAAAACTCAGGATAAGGCAGGGAGTTGACTATGACAAGTGCCAAAAATGGGATGTAACAAAGTGGGAAATTCTGAATGACTGCAACCTACTGAAAGCAATTCACAACTTGAGGAAGAGATATTTTGAACACTGGATCTCCCTGGTATTGTTATGAGTTTCATAAAGTCTCTGGGCTAGAAAATTTTATATCCTCCTCTAAAAGGTAAATTTGAACTTATTCTCCATCTTATGTATTTTTTACTCAATATATTTGTTGGAATGAGATAAAATGACTCCCTATTGTTGTTTGTAGTGTGTATAATACACATGAGAAGTGCCTTGTGAAATATTTTCAGCCCCAATTCACCAAGAAAAATGTCAAGGATTGGTTCAGGGTGATTGCTCTATGCAAAATGTACTTTTATTGGAGACTTTTCAAGTTATACCCAGTGTAAATTTATTTGATATCATGCTATACTTCAGGCATTGTTTGAAAGACATCCTGAGTCTCCATATATCAATTCAAAAGGATGCTAGCATTTTTTCTTCTTGCAGAAAAGAAGGACCAATGTTGTAGATACTTGTTTACTTCCAGAAAAACTCTGGGAATTAGCTTCTACAGACATCATGCAATGTTCATTTTAACATTTCTACCTACCTTTTGTATTATACACACTACAAACAACAATAGGGAGTCATTTTATCTCATTCCAACAAATATATTGAGTAAAAAATACATAAGATGGAGAATAAGTTCAAATTTACCTTTTAGAGGAGGATATAAAATTTTCTAGCCCAGAGACTTTATGAAACTCATAACAATACCAGGGAGATCCAGTGTTCAAAATATCTCTTCCTCAAGTTGTGAATTGCTTTCAGTAGGTTGCAGTCATTCAGAATTTCCCACTTTGTTACATCCCATTTTTGGCACTTGTCATAGTCAACTCCCTGCCTTATCCTGAGTTTTCAATTGTTCATCCCCAGACTTGGTATATACAATCTACACCTCCTTAGCTATATTTGATACACTAGAGCTTAGTTCTCAAAATGTTTGATTCTTGTGTTATAGCACCAACTTTGTCCAAAAAATGATCAGACAATCTTTTTGCCCAGTTAGTGTAGCACTTCATCTGAGTGATCAGCAATTGCATGAGACCCAGGGGGACTTGATGTGTGTGATCCTTGCTGAACAAAGGGTTCTGGTTAGAGTCCACCCTGAAGTTTTTCTTGACAAAACACAGCTGCATCGCCTGGACATCCCTACCTAACCTTCAACACAATCCAAAGGCTACCTTCATCAATGTTCACTTGAACTGGAAGCTGTTGAGACTAAGTATGTTAAGCTTTTAAAGTTTTCTTTATGTGTGGCACTCATCTTCCTCAGCCTCACATACAAAGACACACCAAGACACTGAAAACCAACCTTGAGCAACAGAACAATTCATTGCAATGTTCAGTGACCTAAATCTACTCTGCGTGCAAGGGGTAATGACTTCATCCTCAACCACATATCCGAATCCATGTCCATCACCAGATACTCATCTGAATATTGTGATCCATAATCTGTTGCAAGAAGACCTCCACGAATGATTGATTCAATGGAGATAAAAACTGAGAGTGAGCAATGTTGGGCCTTGACTCAATTGAAGCGAAGGTCATTATCCTGTCCACGATTCTCCAAATCAGGTGGAAGATCCATGGGTAGGATAAGTGCCATGTGATACTCCTTGTCAAGAACTTGAAGTCCAAAAATGTAGAGTAAGCATGCAAAGATATACTTCTCCTCATCAATCTTGACAATGATGCAATCATATCGTGGCTTGCCATGGAATTTTGGGTTGGCACTAAGAAGGTCGGTGGCTACACACCAGTCATCTTTTGATTCATAGTTAACTCTTAGCAATTGAAAGGGATTGATCTATTGAATTCAGATACCATCATAAGTGGACAAGAGTAGTCTTCAAAGGTCAAAATTTACCTGATCACTTGGTCCAAACCTTACCGATCTTCCAAGATATCTTGTAAAAAAGCATCCAATCTTCTTGTGAAAATCTTTGAATGCAGAGTCTGCTCTGTGTTCATCCTCAAGGTCTGAAAATGCAACTGGTGCACATTGAGAACCCAAGGATACATGGGCCATTCCAATGATGTTTCGTGTCACCTGGATTTGGCTATCTTCAGCAGATGCTTCTGCCTGGGATAAATCCAGGTAGTCAATGTCATCGTGGATGACAGTTGCAACTAAATCAGCATGATCAAATTTGAGTATCTTATTTATGTCAATTTAACACAGGACTTTGAATAGTTAGAGAATTTAGCAAATACCTGTGGTGCAACATTCTTGAAATTTGTTCAGAACTTGTAGCTGTTTTTGAATGCACCATGACATTTTTCATTGGGCTTTCTATTATAGTTTCGTGTCACCCCTTTTTGCTGGATATCGTCAAACATATGCTTATGTGTATGTGCTTTTGGAAATGACCATGATTTAGCTGGGTTAAATGGCATATATTCCTATATATATAAAGGTAAATTGTTAAAGGCAATGTAAACCAATTATTGTACATACATGAAGTGCTTTCTCAAAAACCAACAGTTCCTCTCGACCTTTTTGAATAGTTGTCTCTGTATGAACCTTGAGAGATGCATACATATCAAGTTCAACATAGCTTCACAGAAGCTTGAGTAGCTGATATCCTTGAGGAGATGCTTCCTTTGTAAAAATATTGTGGAGTGCAAAGATAAGAACCTAACCCAGGTCATGAAACTTGAATTTTGAGAGGAAATTCAAAAAGCTGACTTACTTTCGACATGTCCTCATACTTGCTTCCATCAGAAAATTCACCTGTCTTTATAATGGAGGTAAAGTGGTTTAAACCACTCCAAGTAGGGAGAGCATCAACCCTGTAAATAAAGATAAATATATTCTATCTCAACAAAGAGATCAAATCCATACTGGGTATCAATCAACTTCGAGACACCCTTTCCAAGTTCCTCAGCTACACTTTTAACCTCTTCCCAGATATGATCTGAGAATAAACCTCCATGATATGCATGAAGGCGATCCCAAGAAATTGCTTGGTGAATATCAGTGCAAGGAAATTTCCAAAAAGCATTCTTTGGAAGTAAGTCATCAGTGAAATATATGAATCAACCCATTTGAATGTTACCTCAACATCCTGAAGACCAACATTCTTCAAGGTTTCTTCTGTCTCAGAGGCATTAAGTCCTATTGTGGACTTGTAAATCTTTTCCATGTCAGAGGAAAAACGAAGGGGAAAGTCTGATGAAAGGTTGGCAAGCTGATCCCCAGGAATGAGGCAGACTGGGCAGGGAAATTTGCTGTTGACCCCACGAATGAGGGCAATAACACATCTGCACAGAAAATTGTGAAGTTCAATGTAAATTGCAGATGTCAATACTTACTGCTCCTCATAGTCTGCAGATGCAATAAGCACAATGGGAAACATCCACCGTTCAATATCAGCAGTTGTTAGGTGGTAGCCAGTTTCTGCATATTGCTCAACAGACTTCAAGATTTCATAGAATGCCTTATGCCAGACAACTCTTTTGAAATTCACATATTTCTTTTTTCCAGTTTCACCTGAGTCTTCTTGCAACTGCATGGTTCTATGGGTAAGCTGCATGCAATTATAATTGATGAGAAATCTTCTTACAACTGGAAACCATCCAACACAAACTCTTTTCCCCCTCTTTTCCCCATTTCGAATCGATGTTGGAAGATGGGCGCAAACAGCAATGGCAGGGTAGCCCATTGCAGTGCCAAAGGATGATAGCCTGTTTTTATCTGCATACACCATGAAAAAAAAAGGAACTGCTCCTGGTGGAAGCGATGCCTAGTTGATCATTAGATATCATGATAATGAGCAGATGGGACTTCACAACTTACTTGAATTTCCCACCATGCATCAGCTGTCTAGGGCTCATCAATGAATCGTTCATAAGTCTCCCCATTAAATCTGTAATGATGTTCAGCATCCCAATGAAATTCCCTGGCAAGGTGGGGGTCGAGAAGAAGTTCCTCAGCCCAACTCCACAATGGACGCATCCAAACGTCAAAGGGTTTATCTTCATCATTATACTCTACTGTGATTGTTGTTTTCTCAAACTAATATAGTCAGATCACTTTTCCACCTGCAGATGAACAAAATTCTGCTTACCGTAGTTGCCCGATTTGCAGCATTCTCCCAAATTTTTGACAAGTCAGGTTCATTTTTCAAGGTAAAAGACTTGGGGTCTAGAATACATTGATGGATGAGGGAGATGAGTTCATTCGTTTGATTCTTATTCATGTGGGTATCAAGAATCAATTCTGCCAGTTCAAAATCGAGACGAGAACGGAAAGGTTTCCATGGCTCGGGATCAACTGGAATGTCAACACTATCGAGATCCTGGAAATTGCTTTTGTACTCATCAAAGCTAAAGAATTGAGGTTGGTGTCCACTTCTTGGATGGTACTCCACTTTGATGTCATTGAGCTGTGGTGCCTGCTCAAATGGACTAGAGGACCCTTCGTCAGTATGGACTTCACCATGGGGCTCAGTGTTGTTGTTATCAGTGTTGTTGATTGTTTCATTTTCATTGAATATTGCTATGTTTGCATCATAGGCTGGGTAACATAATCAGATGTGTGCTATCAAGTAATACTTACTATTTTCCACATTTCCTGCTTGCAATTGAGTATGTGTATACCCTAGATTGAACTGATCAGCTTGGAAAATCAAGAAAAAAGTGGAAGAGAGGAAATGAATGCTACCAAGAGGAGTGTAGGCAGAGCTTGGCCCAATCACAGGGATAAAAGGGTCTGGACCAAGGCTATTAGCCAGTAATATGCCATCAAGCACTGTACAGCTTACCCAATAACCCCTCTTGTTGTACCTGTTCCTCAAATGCCCTGGATCTTGCATCTGAAGCAACTGTCTCAGGACAAGATTTGCATGATTTTTGGTGCTGTGTTATGCCCTTTGACTTGAAAGGAAGCCCGCAAAAAGTGCATAGAGGGTCTAAAACAGAAGGCTTTAGTGTTCCTTTTGGACCTTTCCCTTTGGGAGGCATTGGGAATGAGGAGGGACGACAGACGCGCATTCAGCGCAGTGCGTGCACTTTGATTACAGGACAAACATTGATCTTATAATGCAACGTGACCATTATAACGTGACTACAATAGCTCCTGATAGACTTGTAATTTATTATTATTGTAAGGCATCACGGATTTTTCCGACATAGATCTATTTTTAGGCATGGCAAGAATTCGTGATCAATATCAACCGATTTCAGCAGATTTGGTGGGATCAATTCACTTTCGTCAGATTTCATCCAATTTGAACCAGCAGGGTTTTCACTGGGCATCAGTGTTGATGGCCGTTACCTCAGTCACCGCCTCACGTTCTCATCAATGGGAGTCACTTGACCTTTTCATTCCCTCAATTTGGGCTGAGACTCTCAACTCCAAAATGGGTCGCATTCCAAACATCAAATCACTTGACTTGAAGGTCTTTAGATTCCAAGATACCCCGGAGTCGCCATTTTCCAGAACGTTTCTTGACGCCCTGAAGCTTCGCACCATGACAATAGGCTATGAAGACATTGATGTGGGACTTCCACATCACCAACTGGAGGAACTGACAGTTTGGGGATACATCCATAACCCGGACTTTGTCGCTTTCCTCAACAAATGCATGAATCTTACGTTTTGCAGCATACACACCGGCCTCGAACTTAAAGATTGGGCGAAAACCAATAGGGATCGATGCCTATTTGTCAATCTTCCAAAGCTCGTAACATTAGAAATCATATCTGATGGTTCGGGTTGGCTGCTCGGTTATTTATTGGTACCCGCACTTGAATCCATTACTATTCCTCTTGAGTATTCCATCGACTCAGAGGCATTCTTGGCTTTTCTTACATGCTCAAACATGGCATTGAAACAATTGTCCATCTTTCATTATATCCCATGGGAAGAAGAGCCCTTGTTCAGGATGCTTGACGCGCTCACCCATCTGATGCATTTGGAGCTCGACGAACTCACCGTTACGTCATTCTCATATGATGAAGAGCATTGGTTGCCCTCTTGCACGTTCTTTGACTATCTCACTGTTGAAATTAGACTAGAATATCCTCAGCCAGATGATAGAATGACTAGCATTAGTACTGTACCTAGAATATCCTATGAGAGATATGTGGGTAAGTACTAATGGTGTAAGAACAGCGGGGCACAATACTCACCTCAGCCGGATGATAGAACGACTGAGGAAAGTAGTATGCCCCTGTACAGTACTTATAGTAGTGGGTTACGTAAGGTTCGATCACGATCATGCTGCAGCGCTCAACAGTTCAACACTCCTCCTCAAAGCGTAGATCGGGAGGAAGAAGAAAAGAAAAGAAAAAGAAAGAAAGAAAAGAAAATGAGAGAAGGATGGAGGATAGGATAGGATGATGGATAGAATAAATGTATAAGTAGAATCCAAGCGCCAGGTGCATCAAAACCCAGTGGGAAAAAGCTACCGGCTGGCATGGTCAAAATGAAATCTACCTAAATGAAGGAGATTGAAGTCGAGACGCCAACCAGAAAATCTCCTCCTCGCACAAGCATCACCGGAGACCTAGGAAGGGACGGAGGCACATAAAATCAGGACGAGGTAAGGCCTTCGTAAAGATGTCGGCGACATTGTCGTGGCTGGGGACGCGCCAAACCGTGATGGAGCTGTCTTCAACGCGCTCGCGAATGAAATGGTGGCAGACATCGATATGTTTGCTACGCGAATGGTGGGTGGGGTCGGAGGACAACGACTTGGCACCATTGTTATCGCATAGGACGACGGTAGGAGTAGTCTTCAAGAAGTGAACTTCACGGAGGAATTGCCGTAACCAGATCGCTTCACAACCGGCTTCGCTTAGGGCAATGTATTCTGCTTCACAAGAAGAGTTAGTGATGGTTTTCTGACAACGAGAAGACCATGTGAAAATAGCACCGCCCACGGAGTCTGAGCAGTCAGCATAAGAAGAGTCAGAAAAGCCAACAAGCTCCAAATCAGGGTCACCACCGAGAGTCAAAGCAAGAAGCCGAGTACCCTTAAGGTACCGGACAACGGGTAGGGCAGCATTCCAATGTGCATGGCGGTAGCAATCAAGAAATTGGCAAAGGCGGGCGACAGCAAAAGAAATGTCAGGACGGGTGCCAACGGCCAAATACATGAGAGAGCCAACAAGGGAGCGATAAGGAATACGGCCTAGATCATATGAGTCAGTTGCCGACAGCAGGGGATCCGAAGGAGAGGGCCGAGTAAGGCTCTTCGCAACGGAAGGATCCATAGGTGTAGAAATGGGGTCCGCATCAGTTTGGCCAAACTGTTGGATGATGTGGTCAATTAAAGCAGTCTGAGAAATAGAAATAGTCCGGTCGACGCGATTGCGAGAGATGGCAATCCCAACACAAAAGGACGCTTCACCAAGATCCGAAATTGTCCAGAGTGACTTGAGCTCCTCCTTGAAAGCTTGGGATGCTTCAGGTGTACTAGAGGTGATAAGGAAGTCATCAACGTGGACAGCAGAAAGGACTGTTCCAATGGAAGAGACTCTGTAATAAACGCAGGGATCAGCGTGAAGTCACTTAAAACCCCAACCTAACATAGCTTTATGCATCGTTTTGTTCCAAATACGGCCGCTCTGCTTCATACCGTAGAGTCCGCGCTGTAGGCACCATACCCAGTCTTCCTTGCCAGGTTCAGCAAAGCCTTCGGGTTGTTCCAAGTATTGCGCTTCATCAGGAGGTAATAGACCATAAAGAAAAGCGGTCTTGACGTCAATTTGCTGAAGATCCCAGTCCTTGGTGGCTGCAATGTTGAGAAGGAGGCGAACAGATTCCATGCGGGCCATAGGAGAGGTTGTATCAGCGTAGTCTTGACCAAATATCTGTTCATAGCCTAAAACAACGTATCGTGCCTTGTGCCGTACGGGGGCACCAACTTTATCTCACTTGAGGTTGAGAACCCATTTCCCATGTAGGATCTTACGACCTGAGGGAACATCAGAACAAGGAACAAGTACATAGACACCCATATCTTTGAGACTCTTCAGTTCATCTTGAATACCAAAGGTCCATTTATCAGCATCTGGGGACTTCATTGCCTGACGGAAAGTGGGCTCGTCAGGATTGCGAGGGTTGATCAAGGGGGACGCCAATTCGGTTGCGTAAGCTTCACAGAAGGCCACGAAATCCGATTCTGGGTCCAAATGAGGTACCTGCGGTAGTGAGTCGTCAGGGACGGCATCAGTAGTAACAGCAGGGGGAATGGTAGGATTGGAGGTAGAAGGAGGGTCAATGTTAGTTAAAGAGGCTCATTGGTCCAGGACCAGTTGACGCCGTTCAAACTTAGCCTGTGCACATTGTTCCTTGAGACGGCAACCAGCTTCACGAGATTCTGTAATGGCTTGCGCAACACGAGGTAAGTGCTTAATGCCTAGAATTTCAGCTGCCTTAGCCGTAGGAGCAAGCGTCCGGGCAGATCGGTGTGGTACATTGCCAATGTCACCTATGGGAACAACATTAGTAGGGTCATCATGTACAGGGACTGATACCTCGTCATCATTGGCGGGTACAGTCCAGACTTGGCCCTGAGCATCGTTAATGAACTCCTCCTCATCTGAAATAACGGTGTGCTTGGGCGAAGAAGAAACAGAAACAGAAGAAGAAGAAAGAGAGGAAGAAGGAGATACAGAGGAAGAATCGGGCACATCTGGAGAAGAGGAAACTATTGGGGCAGTTTGTGAGGCATCAGAAGGGTTACCAGGGGGATCTGTAGACGGAAGATCAATGACACGACCAGAGTAAAGAGGGTGAGGGATATCGTCCTTTTGTTCAATGAATTTAACATGGAACGATTCAAAGAGTTGGTGTGTCGTGTGATGGTAAAGTTGATATGCTTTGGAATTGGGGGAGTAACCAACAAGAATGCATTCAAAGGAACGCTCGTAGATCTTGGGGTTGTTTTTGAGAATAAGGGCAAATGCGCGAGATCCGATTTCACAGAGGTGTGATAGATCCGGTTTCCTGCCATGCCATACTTCATAGGGTGTTTTCCCAAGTGTCCGAGTAGGCATACGGGCTGATAAATAACCTGCGGTCATGGCAAATTCGTCCCAGCGATTAGGGGGAACTTGTGGCGTTGAAGCGCGCATCCTGTTCATTATTGTGAGGTGCATGCATTCGGCACGTCCATTATGGGCAGACGTGTAGGGTGCAGTGGTCTGTAGGGTATAACCATTAACATCGCACCAAAGTGCCATCGCGTCAGAGTCTAGTTCACCACCGTCAGTACAAATGATACCGATTTTCTCACCACTCTCAGCTTCAGCTCAACGAGCCCAGGTTTGGAGAGTAGGTAATGTGTCGGATTTTAATTTAAGACAGAATGTCCATGGGTGACTAGAGTTGTCGTTGACGATGTTCATAACATATAGGTTTCCACTAGCTGACTTCACTGCCTCAGGTCCTGTCAAATCCACATAAATGATCCCCAACCTGCGATTTGATCTCTCTCCCTGACGCATTTTCGGTACTGGGGTACGACCCTGTTTGCCGTGTATGCAACTGTCACATTTGGGAGGTGTTTGAGAGAGATTAGTGTTTAAAGGTTCAGTCCATAGGACCGCAAAAAACCGGTGGACCGAACTGAACCGGACCATGGTCCGGTCTTTTTTTCGGTTGCAGTTGCCCCAATTTGGGGTTGGTCCAGTTGCCGGTTGCCTCATTTCGAAAATCTTTTAAAACCGTTCAAAGGCCGGTTTTAATCGGTTGCAACCGGTTAAACGGTCACGTGCGTTACATAGCCTTGTAACCACGTTTATTGCCTTTTATTGGGTTTTTGTTTCATCAAAAACGGTTAAGAATTGAGAAGATATAACCAAATCCATATTTTACCCAAGTCTCTAGGAGATGTAATTCGGTTTCAGTCATAGCTATGTCAAATGTTCATTAAATCTCTTGAAAATTGGTAGAATGACAGGTATTTATATGCTTTACTATTTTATATAACCTGTTTATTTTTCAGAGTAATAATGGTTGAGATACAAATGGTTTATATTGATATAATAAATTATACGCAAAAAAACCGGTCTGGATCGGTCTGAACCGGTATCATGGACCGCAAAAGACCGGTCCTAGGTGGTTCGGTTCGGTTCCCTCAATATCTGGGTTGGTCCTGGACCGGTTGCGGTCCACAGTTGCGCGTTTTCGGGGCAAAAAACCGGACTGAACTGAACCTTTAAACACTAAGAGAGATCTATGTGCATACCTTCAGCTAATTGCTTGGTAGCAATATCCAGTATGCACTGGTTCGATGTGTGTCCTAAGTGACGGTGCCAGGTATCGAGGTTGGCAGTGTGGAATGTGTGCTTGGTTGACAATCGAGTACAATCAATTTGATAGAGTTTTCGGTTGGGAAGGCGTGTGCCGGTGGCAAATAATGAGCCAGAGCGATTCCGGAGGTTGACATTGGATGCGTCGAAGGTTACAGAGCATCTGAGTGATTCAGTGATGCAAGCGATTGAGATGAGCCTAACGGTGGACGTAGGAATGAAAAGAACGTTTTCAAGGAGTATAGATGACCCCTTTGCGACAACAAGTTTGATAGTGCCAATGCCAAGAGCCTTTATGGATGATCCTCCAATGCCTGTTACAGTTCTGTTGGCAATAGGGTGTAATGAGGCGAAATCGGAGTGCTCAGGGGATATATGTGTGGTACAAGCGCTATCAAGAAGGAAGGGTGAAGATCCCAGGGAGACATCGGATAGACAGGTCGAAGTTGGAAGTGGTGCTGCTGTGATGGCGGCGAGGTCAAGTTCGTCTATGTTTCTCCTCCTCTTGTGCCAGTCAACAGAAGCATGGAGAGCTTCCTGAGTAGCGAGCCAAGCGTGTTCAGCGATGTGAGCGTATTCATCAATGTCCGCAGCGCACATAGATTCGAGGACAAGAGGGTCGATTGAGTCCAGGTTATCGGTAACAAGGAAATGAGCAGAGTCACCAGACAACGAAGCGGCACTAGAAGAGTTGGAGCTGACGATTTCGTGAGCTTTGCCGTCTGCATCGACGATGAAAGCCTGGTTGCCAGATTGAATGATACTGCTGGCAGGACCCTTTGACGAATCCTTGGATTTCTCTTTGGGTTTCTTGCCTCGTTTAGCGTCGCGTGCTTGTTGGGCTTCAGCAATTGTCTTGCCAGCCATACCGCCGCCAGGTTGGATGCAAAATTTGGATGTATGGCGGGGCTTCTTGCAATTAGAGCATATAGTCTGCTTTGCATCATAAGACGTAGAGCCACGGGCAACGTGAGCTTCGGCGGGGACGAGGACAGACTTGGTGTTGGACATGGAACGAGCTTGTTGTTCATAGTCGAGTCGAGCAATGATATCTGTCGAAGTATATGCGCAGTCAGCGCTCGAAGATGAAAGACCAGACACTATAGCGTCGCGAACACCAGCGAGAGAATCGTCTGAAGATAAGGCAAGGAGCAGAGTATCGCACAGAGAGCGCTTCTTGAATGAGAGTGACTTGTGACATGGGGCCTTGATGAATATGGCGTTGTCGAAGAATCGTCCAAATTTCCTGCGCAGTATCGCAACTCTCGAGGAAAGAGTGCTTGGATGGCACGCATTTCATGACCAGGAATGCCTGAATCGCGGCATTGTTGATTTTCCAATGGCGATGGGCACGTGGTTCGAGTTGGGGATTGGGAACAGGAAGTGAGCCATCAAGATACAGGTTGAGACCAGAAGAAAGGTGCAATATGCGCACAACATGTCGGCTCCACGTCACGTAGTTGTTCGAGTTCTTGTCTAAAAGAGGAACATCCCCCCAGCTAGATTCCCTCACACTCTGAAGTGGAACGGAAGGATGAGAAGTATCGCTGGAAATGGGAGTGAGGGGAAGAGGTGACAGAAAAATCGGTCTAGGCGAGGTGGGACTAGAGGCAGGGTCATCAGAACTAGGGTCGCCCACAGTCATCGTGATTCAAAGAAGTGAGGTTGGTCGTAATGATGGCGGGATATCTATAGGTCAATAAGGCCCATAACCTGTTGAAATTAGACTAGAATATCCTCAGCCGGATGATAGAATGACTAGCATTAGTACTGTACCTAGAATATCCTATGAGAGATATGTGGGTAAGTACTAATGGTGTAAGAACGGCGGGGCACAATACTCACCTCAGCCGGATGATAGAACGACTGAGGAAAGTAGTATGCCCCTGTACAGTACTTATAGTAGTGGGTTACGTAAGGTTCGATCACGATCACGCTGCAGCGCTCAACGGTTCAACACTCACAACTCCCAATACGATGTCGGGTGGTAGTGGTTTGCCATTGCCACGATTGATAAGCTTCAAATACCGTGGTCGTTTCCACAACTCGGAGAACGACAGTGTTTATCTTGATGCATTGGAAGAGATGCTTCTAGCCAGGTGGAATACCAATGTCTCCGCCGGCGCTTCGCGACTTCAAGTGTTCAGTATGTCGATTATAAATTCCCCGGAATCAGTGACAGAGTTGGAGCGATCACCCGTCGCGAAGGAGTTGCGCAAGGAAGGCATGCATTTGGCGTTCAATTCGGTTGAACCGCGAACAGGTAGGCGATTATATGAATACCAGCGAGAATGACGTGGGATTCCAGCTTTTGGCTCGGAGCACTACTGTCAAGGTACATATTTTGGTTGGCCACACATGCATATTTTTGGATGATCTGCCTCTGTAAATGAATCTTGTGGGCAATGAAGATGGTGATGAGCAGGAACATAAGCTGTTCATGCATGCACGAATTGTAATACAATAATAGTAAATTACATTAAATGAGTTCAACCTCCCCCCTTGCCACGAGTTGTTCCACAACAGAGTACAGTGTGAGCGAGATATGCCCCTTTTCCATGTCAAGCGTCGCGCCGCTGTGTAATGAGGTTGTCAGCGTGGGTACAAGCAAGAGTCGAAGCTGAAGGGGGCAGGGAACTTACTCGGGCAACGTGATCCGCGGACACCTTGTCAATGCGTGTACGAAAACGGGACGCGATTTGTCTGGTTCTGTTACTGGTGGTGTATTGGATTAGCTTGTGGTTGAAGCAAAGTAGCAAGGAGGAAGGGACGTTTAAAAGGACGGATCAAGAGAGAAGGAGGAAAGGAAGAGAGGGTTAGGGGTCAAAGGAAGGGAAGAAAAGAAGGGAGGAAGGGAGAGAGTGGGGAAGAGAGGAAAATAAAAGGGAA